TCAGTTTTCAAGGTTAATCCATGTTGTAGTATATCAGTACCCCACTACTTTTTATGGCTAAATAATATTCCATTATATGGATACACCACTTCTATGTATCATTTATCAGTTGATGGCCATTTGAGTTGTTTCTTCTTTATGATTATTATGAATAGTGCTGCTGTGAACATTTGTGTACAAATTTTTGTATAGACATGTTTTTATGGATTAAAATTACTGGGTCATATGATTATAGTATGCTTAACTTTTGAAGAACTAGCAAACTGCTTTCCAAAACAGCTGCATCATTTTACATTCCCACCAGTAATGTATAAAGGATTCCAATTTTTCCATATCCTATCAATGCTTTTTTCTTTTTTTTTCTTTCTTTTTTTCTTTCTTTCTTTCTTTCTTTCTGGCCATCTTAGTAAGTGTGAAGCGGATCTCATTGTGGTTTTGATTTGCACTTTGCTAATGGCTAATGATGTTAAACATCTTTTCATGTTATTATTGGTAACTTAATACCTTCTTTGGAGAAATGTCTATATAGACCCTGTGCCCATTTTTAAATAGGGTTTTACTTTTAGTTCAGGAAACTCATTTCATATCTTAAATTCATTTGAAAGTTTCTCCTGATGCTTCTCTGCTCCTAAGGGGTTATTCTTCCCCAGGATGGGTGGCTCAGTTGGTTGGAGTTTGTCTCATACCCAACAAGGTTGCAAGTTTGATTCCTGGTCAAGGCATGTACAGGAGGCAACTGATGGATGTTTCTCGCATGAAATGTCCTCTCTCTCACTCTCTTTCCCTTCGTCTCTCTCTAACAAAATTAATAAACACGTTCTCAGGTGAGGATTACATTTTTTTAAAGTTATTCTTTATGTTTTTCATTTATTTATTCAAATAAGTACTGCATTTATTTAGGACCTAATATGTGCCAATCTTACGCTAAATCCCAAGGCTAAAGACTCAGACCTTAAGTAATTCATAAGCTCTTGGCTTCCCAAGGGGATAATTTGCAATATAATGCTGAAAATGCTATTGTAGGCCTCACAGTGTGAGACTTAAATGACTCAAGAGTGAAACACTTGCAGGGGTATAGACAACAAGGTTTTAACTAATGTTACAGAGGAAATACAATGTAGCTCACTTTTTTTGTGTGCAAGGTTGGAAAAAGTCAAAAAGTACAGATTATGCTTCTTATCAGTAACATAGTTAAAAAAACCGCAGGCCACATTGAGGAAGGATAGTAAAAAGCCAGAAAATTTTCTTTACAAATAGAATGGGGAAACTGAGACAAACAGCTGATTCAAACTGGCCCCATCCAGGACACTGAGTCACCCAACTTCTCCCTTGTACAGCCAGCCACTCCCTTAAGCATCAAACCCTCAGGACAATGAGGTTCTGACACTCATCAAATAATTGTAGGAACAAAGCTTTGGATTTTTTGACCACAGAGACAGGGTTTTGGCCAAACATGTTAGAGATAACATGTAGGCCTCAGCTCTGTTTCAGGTCCAGGCCCAGAAAAGCAGCAAAAACAGATGAAGTGATGCCATGGCTGCCATCAGGACCAGCTGCACTGACTACTGACCCCCTACCCTAGCACCAACCAGTCACTACAGACTACAACCCTGAAAGGATACACTTGGAAAACTGATAAATAGAGATCCTCCACTGAGACCTCTCCTAAAATTCCTGCCTTTAGAGAATAGATAATAAACTCTTAAGTTGAAGGATCCAGTGATGCTTTCTTTCTCTAGAGCCCTATACTGCCCCTTCTTCCCTTCTTTCCTTAGGTATGCATCCTCTGCTTTCTTTCTTCTAAGCTCCAAAGGACCTCCTTTTGAGTCTTTGAAACTTGTTTCTTGAGTCCACACGGTCCAACTGGCTCACTTCTTCAACCTCTGTGACTTTCTAAATAAACTTCTTGCGCTCGAGTTTTTGGCTCTGAGTTCTTTCTTAGCTGAACTCAAGAACTGAGGTCTAACATTGCTGATAATATCAGGCATGGAGACAGCTGAGTGACAATGGGTTACAGCAGAGCTTGCAGGGCAGAGCACTGGTCAAGCCTCCTAGACAATGTAATTTGAAGTAATCATTCAGAAATTACAGGTTTAGAAAGCATCACTGCTTTTGCAAATAATAATAAAGGTACTGATCTCATAAGCCACCTAGCATCCTAGCCAGATCTGCATTGTGCAAGAACAGAACACATAAAGCAAATCAGAAGAAGAGGATAAATTAGAACAAATATAAGAAAACTCATCTTAGCCATTCGTAGCTAAAGGTTTTTAACAGTTCTATAATGAAGAAGAGATGAAAAGAAACATAAACCATCTGCATATTATTTATGATATTTTGCTTATAGGTATGATCTTGCTAACTGTATGTGGGATCTCTTTTATACTATGGGTTTTAGCCACATAATTAGTTGTTTTCTGTGTTCATGATGTCTTGCCTTAAAGAAGTATTCGCATTCCAGCTAAACATGTGGATCTGGTAGAAAATGCCAGGAACAGTAAAAAATCTAGTGTCCAAATGGATTATTTACACCATTTCTCTTCCACCAAGGGCTTTAGGAGGCATACATGAATGATACAACACAATAAATTAGAAAAAATTTAAAAAAAAAACAACTCACAAATCTAACTGGTAATAAACCAGAGTACTAAATAGAATATTTTTAAAAATCCAGAAAATTTTGATAACTATTAGCATATGGTGCCAATGATAAAGTGTCATCCATGAAGTAATTTGGTTTTTGATAATATGCAGAGAGTTTGCTTAATTTTTTTGCATTTCTTTATCTTGAGTATCATTTTTGTTCTGTATACTAAAGACCATTTGTCTTTTATTTTCTTTGTCCTGAACTACTATTTTAAAATAATACTTATATTTTTCTAATTTAAAAAGTAATACATTGTAGGAAGTAAAAATGTAGAAAAGTATAAAGAATAAAATAATATTAAAAACTACCCATCATCCCCTCCCTTCTGAAATCAAAACAAAGAACAATACAAATGGAAGAGGAATGTTACACTATCCAAAAGTGTGATCAAAACTTTTTGGGAACACAGAGGAAAAGGCAGGTAATGTTGACCTGCAAACTGGAGAATATTTCACCAGGGAGGTGAAAATTTTGCTGGGTTTTGAAAAAAGAATAGGTGATTGCCTGGAAAAGATACAGGCAAAGGCATTGAATATGAAGGAAATAATCTGCGGGAAATGATAGAGCTCCCTCTGCATTTTTTTTGTTTGTTTGTTTTTAATTAGAAAGTAGGAGAAATTTGGGAAAAGGTCTGGTATGTTTAGCAAACTGTAAGAGCTCATTGTGTCCAGACTCTATGACCGTGAGGTCCTTTGTACATAAGCTAAGGAGTTAGTATTCATCCTATAAGATTGTCCTTGTTTAGAGGTAGGTGGGGTAATGGACAGCTGGTTATGTGATATTGATCATTAATCTTTTAATTGGAAATTGTTACAGAGGCTAATCACCCCACCAAATTTTCTGCTCTGCCCCATTTTTTCCTATTACTGGAGTTTTGTGGTCAAGAGAAAAAAATCCTTAGAGGGAGATAGGAAAGAGAGACAATAGCAAATAAGATTTCTGACAGATGTCCTACATAAAACTTGGCAAACAGAATGTGTATGAGTAATCTTTAGCTGTGAAACCATTTTAGTAATAATTTATGTTTGTTGCCTTTTCCTAAAGGCATTTATTTTTGGTGTATGGAAAAATTATTCTGTACTATTTGAAAAAGAACCCCCCCCCCCCCCCCCCGCAACAAGTCTGGTACTTTTCCTTTTTTTTTTTTTTATTCTGTGCTTTAAGAAGAATAAATGTATAAAGTCAATTTCTGGATAATAACAAATATATACTGAAAGATTAGATTAATATGAGCATTATATGCTAGAGAATCCTCCCAGGAGAAATGAGTTAGTCACGAAAATGCAATGATGATTCTGAAGAAAAAGAATATTAAAGATGCCAGAAATACTGTAAGCTTCCTGCTGGATGAAATAGGGACATGCTCTGAGAAGAGCTGCCCATGATCACCCCTCTTTTAAATTGTTTTTATAAATGGAACTTGGATTTCTTTCCATAAAAAAGAGTGGGTGGTCATCTTGCTTTTTGAATACCTTTAAGACGATTTTATCTTAAATTTCCTACTGTAATGGGGGTTTAAAATTTATCTTTTAATTGAAGGAAGAGGAATACATTTGAATAGAAGAGGTTCAAATTTTAAGCATGATTGGTTTTGTGTTTGGAAAGCAAAAATATCACATTTTTGCTCTAAATATCTAGCCTATTTTAGCTAGGGAAATTCTAAATTAAGAAGAAAATTTTGATGTAGATATTTCTATATATCAGAAGCCTCTAAGAAAAATGAGTATGTGCTTATACAGGGTGAAGTTTGTGAGAATGGGTATTATAGTAGTTTCAGTTGCTCTTGAAATTATTTGTGTACTTTCCACAAGCAGATAGTATAGTGCAGTTATTTGGCAGTCATTATGAGAGGCCAGATAAATATTTATTGAAAGCCAGAAGAAGTAGAATGCAAGGCCATAAGATAGTCTTGTTTTCTAACTTCTGTGCATTTCAGTGTTTATGCAACAGCCTCGGCATCTAAATGAGAATATTGGCATACTTAATAACTAGAAAAAGTTTCAAAAATTTGTAGAATGTGCAGTAAGAAAAAAATATTAATTATGATTTTTCCTAACATTCAAGATACAAATATGCCTTTGCAGGATAAAATATTTTCACTTTGTTTTGTGCTCTCTTTTATCTGGCATTTCACTTCAGTAACTATTGAATGTTTTTGGATATAGAAGCATATGACTTAATCACTACTCTTTAATATTATAAATTATTTCTGGGAAAATGATATCTTCACAGATCATGTAATTGTACATGAAATAATTGGAGAGAAATACCTTATCCTTTTATTACTTCCACATTAGGTAACTATGTTATACTCATCATGCTGATATACAAAGCTTTTAAATATTAATATTGAATGCTCATTTTCACAGTACATATACTAAAATTGGAATGATACAGAGAAGATGAATATGGCCTCTGAGCAAGGATGACATGCAAATTTGTGAAGCATTAAAAAAAAATTAATATTGTCCTGGCCAGTGTGGCTCAGTTTGTTGAAGCATTGTCCCAAAGACTGAAAGATCATAGGTTCAATTCCTGGTCAGGGCACATACCCAGGCTTCAGATTTGATCACCTGTCAGGGTACATACGAGAAACCACCAATTAATGTCTCTCTCTCTCTTTCTCCCTTCCTCTCTCTATGAAAGCAATGAAAAAAAATGTCCTTGGGTGAGCATAAAAAATTTAATATTGATGTAACATATATACAAAGTCATATATACAGAGGGGACTTACTAAGTGCTTATTTATAAGTCATAGTATTTCTGAATAAGTATTAAGGTGTGATTCAGACCTTTTGGGGGTCATAAAGGGCAAATTGCATATTTTGATCACATAGTAGGATGTAAGTGGAAATATATCTTGCTTCTACATTCTTGCTATGAACAATGGGAATCAACATTAAGAAGAAATATGTAAAAACCAATGATTTCCATAAAATTGCATAACTGAGGACTCAAAATTATACAAATAGCTCCAACTATTTCATAAAGTAATTTTAAACAAAGAATCACTACATTTTCAGTAATATAAAGAAAATGCTATAGAAATGCTTTTTCCCAAATATTTCTGTTTTCAACTTGTATTCTTTAGGGTAAAAATGAAACCTGTTATTATACATAATTTTCTTAATACAGGAATGTCAGTAATGTCAATAAATAAGAGTTTTAAAGCTAAAAGGAAACAGAACTAGCTCATCCAAACTTATTTTACAGATAAAAAATTGAGGCCTAGAGAAGAGAAATGATTTATTCAAAGTCACAGAATCAGGAGCAGAGCCATTCCTAAAAATCTGGTTTTCTGGTTTAATATTTTCTGCCACTGTATATAATTGTTCCTTTTAATCACAAATGGGAAAGATTTAGATGATTTACAATATAAGGAGATATTCTATGGGTGCTGATATTTTCCATTTAGTTAAAAAAAAAAAAGGTATTCTTTGAATTGATCCAGTAACTTCACAACTTTACATGGTTCTCCTACTATGCAAGTAACCAAATCTTAAAACTGCAAAACAACCCAAACATTCCATATTCAAAGTCTTCCATTTCTTACTTTGATTCTTTTAACCACTATACATAGTTTCAGATGATTTTCTTCCAATAGTCAGTCTTTGTTATTTGCTTTGTGTCTGATGTACCCTTGATACCCATTACTAAGGTCAGGTGCTCCATACCATTATATTGATCCTCATGAAATCTTTATATTATGTAGTGGATGCACAGTAGTTTGATTCTTCTCAGTAACTAAAAAAGAACTAGCTATTCTCCTTCACACTTCTCATTTGTGAATCATAACCCTGTTTTATAAAAATGTGCTGACAAGTTACTTTATCTGTTGAAGGTAACATGTGTGTTGATTCATCTACATAGTCTAGATTATGCTTAATAACTATCTTGTAATTTCTGTATCTTAATATAAAAGTTTATTTTGTTTTTTTACTCAAGGTCCATGTCCAGTGTAGAATAAAGAGGGGCTCTGCTTTGTTATCAGGAACACAAGCTAATGGTGGCTGTGCCATTTTGTAGCTGTACTAGCTAGACTACCTGACCTCAGTTGCTGTGGCAGGGAAAAAGTTAGCTGGAGTGTAATACTGGCTCTTCTGTGCTTTGGTTAGAAATGACACAAATTACTTCTATTACATCTCCACAAAGGAGCTGGAAAAATTAAGAAGCAAATTATATATTTGTGGAGCACCCATGTCTCTATCATACATGTCAAAGTAGCCAAACTTCCTGTATGACTGCTTTTGTTGTCCAGATTCTCCTCGCTATACCTGGGTCCCAGCTAAAAGTTTAGTTTCACCTTTTCTCATGATCAGACAGGAAAGGATTATGCAGTGACAGCACTGGGGCTTAGTATTTTAAACTTTGGGTTAAAATTCACTTCAGTTCTAGGTTTCTATCTCTTTCTAAAAGTATAGCAGCCCTCCTTGAGCCCATTTCATCCATACTTTATTCCTGGTACCAGAGTTCCTATCATAACTGGTAATTTTGAGACTTGGTACTTTTGAGACTGAGGCAAAGAACCAGTCTAAAGTAGAACTGAAGTTATCTTTGAATATGTTGTTGGTTATTAATAATTAACTATGGCTATGTGCTATTGGTTCTTATATTAACCTCTGGATACACAACTCTCTTGGTCTAAAGGGTTCTTATTTTTATATAAAGATGTCTCCTGCTGGGCTAGATGGCTTCCCAAGTGATTTCTTGATCAACTCATTCTAAACCAATCTCCATCTACAAGTCTGAATCACTTGTTCAAAATGCATATTTGGTCATGGTATTCCTCTTAACACCCTTAAAAAGCTGCCCATTGCTGGTAAGATAAAGATTCAATGCAAAACATAATCCACCATCTTTTTTTTTTTTTTTTCCAGTGTCTTCTATATTCTTGGTGACTGGTCATGCAGGCTTTTTAGTTCTTCCAAAGAGGCCAGTTTCTTTACACGTTTGCTCAGATTGTACTTTTCCAACAAGACTTATCCTATCATATTTTATACTATGATCTGACTGGCTTCTCTACCCCAATATTTCTTTTTTCTTTTTTTAAAAAAGGATTTTATTTATTTTGAGAGAGAGGGGAAAGGAGAAAGAGAGGCAGAGAAACACTGACCTGTGAGAAACACATCAGTCGATTGTTTCCCCCGCACTCGTGGGGACCTGGCCTGCAACCCAGATGTGTGCCCTGACTGAGAATCCAATTGGCAGCCCTTGGGTTTGCAGGCCAATGCTCAGTCCACTGAGCCACACCAGCCAGGGCTCTACCCCAATATTTTAATTACTTTTAACCTGTTTTCCTTTCCTTTTTCCATAATACTCATCACCTTCTACATATTTTACTTCTTTTTCTTTTTGTTTATTGTTTGTTTCCCTTTGCTAGAATGAAGTTCCAAAAGGACAGATCTTTGTGTTTTATTCAGTTATGAGCACATACTGGATGCTTAATAAATATCAGTGGAATAAGCGAGTGGGTAACACTTTCAGTACAGATTTGAAAGTAACAGACATTGTAATTCTGACAATCAAGAGTTGATTGATAATACAGTTGATTAGAAAGAGATAACAAGATGAAGGATATGAACCCTGAGTTAGGGGACCTTAGTTCAATATTTGACTCTAGTTCTCCTTTGAAATATACACTTGAGTTATTGCTTTTTTGGAAAGGCTCATGTTTCACTTTTTGTAACAAAATGGGGATAATCTATTATGTCTTAGCCACAGACATGCCTAGCCCAGGAAAAGTATGAAATAATCAAATTTCTCCATGCTTCCTCCCTTTTTCCTTTCAGTATCTGTTTTCTTTTTGGACAACTTCCAAACCCAATCAATACCCTCATATTCTATTCCACCCTAACAGCTGTTTTCTGGATTAACTGTTAGAAAGTATGTTATTAACTAATTCATAAGAAAGGTATAAAAGACTGATTATGAAATTAATTTGGGATAGGTGGAGGTAAGTAAAATTTAGTAAAGGAAAATATCTCTATTGAAGAAAACAAACAAATAAGAAAAACCTGTCTAATTTGAAATTCAGGCATGATACAGGCATCATTCATATCTATTCTTTTAAAAACAGTAAACCACTTTTTCCTGATTATAAAGCTCTTGAATGTTTATTATTAAAAATACTATAAATAATAAAAAAGAAAAGTAATGCAAAGAGGAACTAATTAATTCTGTTTGGGGTTTGGGATAAGAGGAATCTTCTCAGAGGTAGTACTGTCTGAGCTGGGTGTTGAATGGTAAAAATAAAAAAATTAATGAGTCAACCAGAGAGGGAAAGAGCATTCTTGACAGACAAAACAGAAAATGCAAAGGCACAAAGTCATATATGTTTGAGGAACTGTAAGTTTTTTGATATCACGGAGCTCTGTGAAAGCAGAGACTTCGACTATTTTTCTCATTGTATTCAAAGTAGCCTAGTACAGAGCCTGGAGCACAGTGGACAATAAATATTTGCTGAACAGAGGGATGAATGAGAGGAAGCCTCTGGTCTATTTTAGGGAGCTTGGATTTACTTAATCTTGTGCTTCCCATTAACTGAAGCTAACCAGAAGCCAGTGGGCAAGGGGGTGTTGGAAATTTGGTTTGTAGGAGTCAGCCCATGAAAAAAGAAGAAAAGGGAAGGGCGTGGAATTGAGCAAATAGGCAAATGATCCACACCTTGTGTGATGTGGCACATACCTACCTCTCTAATTCAATCTTCTGTGCTCTAATAAACCAGCCTCCTTTTCATTCCTCAGACATACCAAAACACTGTAGCACTAGCAATTAAATTTCATGATCCCTACAGTGGCAGTCTTGAAAGCATGTACTATCTCTTTGAAGCTTCCATCATTTGGGGACTTTGGTGACTACAATAAGCAGAGTCTGGGTAGTGGATGTTGTGCTGAGCTACCCAGATTTACCCTTTAGGAATGAAGCACAATCACTCCCAACTGCTGGAAATGCTGGAGGCTGACAACTCTCTCAGCTGGGTCCCTCTCTGGGGCTGTTCTTTGCTGAAGAAAGCTTTTAATATCAAGGTCATCTCCCTTCTCTAGATGGAGCGCTATCTAATAAGAGAGTATGAAGACCTGGCCCCCTGCCTCAGTTCAGGACTACATTGGAGGTCCACCCCTCAGTGCTCTCTGCATAATTGGTTAAAGCTTTTGTTGCAACTTTTCCTCTGCCTGATCTTGGGACCCTCCATCCCCAGAGAGATTGCTCTTGAGAGCACTACCCCATAATCTCTTGCATGAAAGTCTACGAGTTTTAGGGTCGGTTCCCCAGTGAACTCCACTGTGGTAGGCTATCTGATAATGTGTGCCAAATATGTAACATGTGAGACATAAACCCTTTGTTGCAATAAGCTGCAGAGATGTTTGTTAAAAACCTAGCTTATCCTGACTAGTACAGATACCAAACCTTGTCTGCCCTGCTAATCCTTTGTCTTCACCAGAGTAAACTGTCTTGTCTTA